TGTTAGGTGTATTATATTATATTTTAGCTATTATCCGAAAAAAAATCACCTTGCGCTGTTTGTGGGTTGATTAAAATTGTACTATGCAATTTTAAATTCAGAATGTTTCCTATTTTAAAGAATTGCACATTGTTTACGTTTGTCAAACATACGACACTATGGTGACAGATTGTGATAACTAGTATAAAAATTGTTTATTAATTAATGCGTATATTTTAGGAGGATATTTGCTATACTGGGAAACAATCTCACAAGTAGAAAAGTATTTAACCAAGCAGCTTTGAAATGGATAATTAACCCACCTCTGTCGATTATATATGCACTATTTTTAAGAACACCACGCTCTCATGCTTTGCTTAGCTCGCAAGCACCATCTAACATTGTAATAGAGTAATACATACTTTAATGATTCCAATCTGGTTGAATATTATTTATCTTATCAACACCATAAATATTTCATAAATAATTCTGTTCTGGGGGTGTATCATATACTTGTCAATGCTCAAAACATCGTGACGACTAATTATGCATGTGATCGACCTCATATTATTGTTATGCAAACATCTACCACTTGAAATCTATTATTCAAATGTGCGGCTTTTTATTAATGTCATATTATTCGGTCATTGCGTGCTGTGCCAAATGAACATGATTAATTAAAAAAACTAGTCAAACTGTCAATAGAATATACTTTTTGAACATTGACATAGCAATTTATAAGATAGCATGATCATGATTCAGAGTATGCGTCATGTTTACTCTTGCGATCTAGCGGGATACAGAGCACCGCAACCCAGTGTGTGTAGTTATTACTGCCAGAACATACGATTCTGCTGTTAAAATTTACTTTTGTTTCAAAACTGGCCTGCATCTTTGAGAAGGGATACAGTATCCCAGTGTGATTTCTATTCGGTAAAAAGAAGACAGAGATTATCGAACACACAAAACACTATATTTAATCACGGTTACTAAAAAAAATCTTTTTTAGTAACCGTGATTTAATAGTCACTCCAACACATTGTTATTTCTTGTTCTTAGGGGCAAGTGAGTACAATTTAATGAATGTTAAAGCGCTGTAGTCGTCGTGCAGCGCCTGCTCGAATTTCAGGAGAACAAACCATGCATTTTACACGTGTCTCATATTCGTCATGGTTCCATATTGAACACG